GATGGGATCTTGCTGACAGTAATCCAACACCTTTGCTACCCTTGACCTGACAGAGAGCTCCAGGAGGCTGCAGGGCATGTCCAGCCAGGAGCCACAACTGCAGCAAAACCCACTGGTTTATACTTAATAGACACCCAGCTTGCTTTATACTTAAGTGATTAGCTCAGCAGGGGAATGAGGTGAAAATAAGCACATCCTGATGGATGCAAGGGAACAAATGTGGAATAAGAAAATAAGCAGGCGAAGGGCAGGAATTTCAAGACTTGAGGCATAATTTGATGGYCATGGTCTCAGATTGCCTTGGAGAGCCAGGAGGCACCGGACAGCCGGCATCCCATCAGGCATGAACTGCTGCTCAGCAGCTGAAGGTCCCGTTATTTCAATACACGCTTCTATGAAAAGAGTTTTCTAGTAATACCTGGTGTTCTTTAGCTTCAGTTTCAAACCCTCACACACTTTCTTTCTGCCACACTTAAATATTTGCTATATCTAATGGTTGCGAAGCAATGCCACTTCACTCTCACCCTTCTGCATTCAGACCCATCATGTCTAAGGGCGCCCGAGTGGGAGGTCAGCCTCCGAGGCCACACTTTCCATCTCCTGCTGTCAGGTGTGAGGACAATTAACTGCCCTTTTTATCTTCCCATATATTAAAATGTCGTCGGTGCAATTTACCCCTTCCTGCTAAGCTGTACAACTGTTTCCATCTAAGTGTGTGCATTTACTCTCTAACTCGTATGTCAGGGCAGAGTTGTCAGGTTATTACAAGAGCTAATGTCAAAGCAGCTATGACAAAGTAGTTATTATTTAAATTAACCTTTTGAGAATTTAGCAAACTGTGCTGTAGCACTGTGGACAAAATTCTAGACGTGCAGTTAAATGGCGTGAATGGTCTGTGAGTAATGAACGAAAGTAGGGAGGGAAACACGGGGAGAAAAAAAAAGTGTGTGTGTGTGTGTGTGTGTATATATATCTCTCTCTTAAAGCGCGCATATCTATATCTATATATATATATATCTATATATCTATCTATCTATCTATCTATCTATATATATCTATATATATATAGATATAGATATATATATATATATATAGATATAGATATGCGCGCTTTAAGAGCCCTCCCTGCTTTGTTCCAGAGTTAGTAAAGTAGATTTTTTATGACGGAAATAAAAATGGAAAAGAAAATACAGTTTGGGATCAGAGATGCTGTAAATCTTATGATTAGTAACACTATTTTATGCTTTTCCAACTATAGAAAAGGTATCACTTATTTAATCAAATAAATCAACCCAATAAATGTTGCTATCTGCMACTTTTCAAACACCTTTCATTGTAGGATCCCTGCATGCGTTAGAAACACCTGTGACAGCAATCTCTTGGCAAAACGTGAAACCTGGACCTCATCTGTGGGAGTAATTGAGCTAACATTTATGTAAAAAGAGAGACATGATATAAAGAAATGATCATGACACTTTGTGCAAGTCATCATTACAGCAAAAGCAGAATGTGCGATTTCAGAGTCAGTTCCAATGGCATTAGTTTTATTTTCAGCTGTGAGTAGAAATAGAGGGCTAACGAGTATGAACAACAGCTGTGAGAAGGTCCTTGCCACAAGGGCAAGCAGTTCAACAAATCCAAGAGGTGTGTGAGAAATCACAGTTTAGAAGTGAGAAAAAAAATCTGTATTTTGGTGATTTTAGTAGTTAAAAGTTTCTATTAACACTGCTTCATTTAGAATTAAGTAAAGCAGGGCATATAGTGATATTGATGTCTACTTTTGAGCATATTTCATAGATGCTGTACATGGCCATAGCCAAAGGAGTAGCCATAAGTTTCATCTGAGGCTTTTTTCCTACTCTTCCTCCTTTCTTTGGGCTTACGTGGTCCCTTCAGCCAACTCCTGTGCATCACATGCACACATTCCCCTCTTCACTTCCTCCCAGTTTCATTCTATCCAATTTTAATTCTTAGTCTGTTATTCTATTTCTCCCAGTGCCAGATGAAATACAAGGCCACTAACCAAAATGCAGTTCTGAGTTTTCTTTTCCAAACCTCTCTTACTTTGACGGGCAGCTTCTCACTCCTATCTAGCAGCTGCAGTAATTGCAGAAAATGAAGATTGCCAAGGCAGAGCTCCTTTTCAGTGCTAGACCTTAAATAACATCATTGCTTAAATAATACCTTCTCCAGATGGTGCCAAGACAGAAACACCCTTCCAAGGCTTCTTCTCTGTTAAGTTGTTTCAGAGAGAAGACAGGCTGAATTAAATTTAAATAAATAAATAAATGTGRTCAGGCCCCTCCTTATTTATCTCCCCTAATACTGGCTCTGTAAATCACATCCTTCAGCTAGTAACATAGSCCCCACAAAGATGTGGTAGTTCTTGAAATCATCTGCACTACAAAAGAGGTGATGCAAAACAGAYACTTCCTGCTCCTCTTTTGCATTTCTGTCCCAACTTACTTAATTGTRCAGGGCAGGAATGAGTTATCCTCTGGGTCACTAAGTGCAACAAAATTCCTCATGCCCAAAAATGTACATAGCAATCTACGTAATCAATGCCTCAAGAAAATATGCTTATTTCTTTTAAAATATTATCAGGCCCTGCAATTTTAGGAATCCTTTTATTTATTTATTTATAAATGCATGAAAGTGTAATATTATAGTTTTTTTTTACAATGAGAGACTCCTGGTGCAATTGTGAAAACTTTCAAGACAAGAATTTTTTAAAATCAGTAGCAATCAGTCTGTCTTTTGATCTCTGTGAGAAGCATGAGGAGAAGTGACAGAGTGCAATCAGGATTACACACAGGGCATTATTCTGAAGTCAAATTAAAGCACTCAGGTAAACTCTTTTATCAATAAGACTGTGAATTATAACTTATTTCAGAGAAAAAGACATACAGATAGCATACACTTTGCTTAAGATCAAATATACAAAGAAATTTATGGTAATAGTRAGAAATCACCCTTGTCCATTATACAGACACCAAACCAGAATGATGTCCGTATTTCTGTTGAGATCTGAGATGTCAAGAATGTTTATTGCTTTAAAAATTATTTTGTCTTTACTGCAGAAGTTTTCTAATGCCAATCACAGAGTATTTGATAGTCATGTGCAACCAAGTTGCAGAAAATGATATGCAGAAAAAAAGTAACTAACATTATACAATTACACTATTCAATACATTCCTCTTAAACCCACTTCTGCAGCATTATTCAAAATCTATCATTGTGCTGAGCGTGAATGCTCCTAGCATGAGATCAGCACGTAAGTATAATTGATCTGTATAAAAGGCAAATTAGCAATATTTGTCCTTTCACTTTGAACATGGACATGAATTATTAACTGAAATATTCTTAACCTTATCCCTACTCTTCTGTATGATAACAGCTTTAAGTAAATATTTGGCTACTGCTCTAAACCTGAGATTTAAGTATTAACAGAAAGACATAATCCGAACTGTTCATCAAYTTCATGCATACAAGCAACTTTATTTGCTTAATTTCAGTCATAAGGAAAAATATTTTTTTTCAGATTTTACCTCTCAGACTGCAGGACTGATTATATACCACTTATTCAAGTCTAGCATAAAGTTAGAAGATAAATTAATTTCTGTACACTCACAAAACTACTGTTTTCTTTTTCTGTAGAAATGGCATATYAAGTGCTTTAACAGTGATATACACTCCAACTTCTTTGCCTATTTCCCCCAGAGGCTTAAAATCTGGGGATAGCAAGTGCAGGAACACAACCTCACATTTTGCTGCCATCTGGGAGACGTGGACTTTTGAGAGAGATCTTGGTCCTCCTTTTTTCTTCAGTCAATAAAGACAAAGCACGTGAGAAGGATGGAGGGGAGGGGGGGGAACCCTGTTTTGGGGCCTGTCTGCTGAGCAACGATGAAAAATAGTTTGAATCTAGTAGGAAAACCTACTGAATTATTCAGTTCTTTCTTCTCCTTGAGGCAGGTTCACCTCTTCTTTTTACAGCAGTGACACAATCCAGTTTCAAGGAACTCAAGTCAGGGCCTTGATCCTCTTCCTTGGCAGATGCTGCCTAACACTTTTTTAACATGCCCTGAATAAGGGAGCTTTATTGCTGCCACACAAGGACCGGGGAAGCAGAGACAACTCTGCAGCAAAGTGTGTGCAATCTGACCCAATACTAACGAGAACCACAGTCAGGCAGTCTGGAGATGGAAAAAAGGAAGAAGAAAAGAAAACAGGGAGAAGAAGCAGGTGATGTGACAGCCAAAGTCAGAAGCGAGCAATAAAGTTCTGTGCTGTGGTGGATATGTCAGAGATCTTGAATGAATAAAGAGAAAACAGCTCTTGCAGCAACCAGAAGTCCAGGAAGGATGAACAGTCAGGGAAGRAAGCAGAGGGGAGGTAGCAGAAAGCAGAATAACAAGGGCCCTAAGCTAGCAACACCTAAATCAACATGGCATCAGGAGCACAAACCAAGACCTGGGAGCACCRCAGAGCAGGGCCCTGTGGTGGCCTGCAAGGACCGAACATCTCTGCTCCACTGCAGCAACCCAAGCTACATTCTCCCACTAAAGATGAAAAAACAGCTTATGAAGATGTACTTTAAGTCCCCATAAGAAATACGGCAAAAGTTAAATTAATGGCCTGTCTTTTCACAAGAYATTATACCACCAAGCAGAACGTTAAGAAACTCAAGTTTCTCCCTTGTAGAGGTGTAACGATCCTTCCATTTATCATAATGAAGAAGCATCTAAAAACTCTTCAGGTGAGCAACTCTTCAGGTAGGCTCCTGTCCCCACATCAGCATATGATATGTGGCCACAGTCTTTTGGTGCACGCTCTCAGTTTCAGTGATAGCATATTATAAATAGCTGATATTCCTGTAATATATTAAATCTGTTAACCATCCTTTCCTGCTTACTGACATAACCTGAAGAAGAAAAATACTTTATAACTGTGAGAAATGTAAAGCTCACAGCTTTCCTTCTGCAAAGGCTATTTCCTACCTGAAGGAGGAGGTCAGAGGCTGGCCTGACTCTCTGCTGGAAGAGCACACTTAATGTTCGGTTCTGTTGTTCCAAATCAAACACTCTGGTTTTCAGCTTTATGCATTCCTCCCTCAGATCCTGCAGCACAAGGAGAAACAGGAACATTAGAAAGAAGGCAACAGAAGCACTTAAAAAAAAAAGCTTTATGTAATGCCAGATATCCAAATATCCAAAACAAATATACAACTTCTAAAATAGCATAAATGACAAGAAYGTGCTACTTCATTTTCTCTGTCTTTCGGATCATTACAAGATAAAATTAAAAGACCTTGAAATGTGAAATATAGGTTACATGAGATATCCCTTTGGAATGGTCTATCAGTTTAAATGTGACCTTACCAGCAATATGTTTCATTTTGTAGCCACACTGACACAAAGCAGAGCACAGCAATTATGATACGAGCAATTACAAGGAGCACAAGCTGTGGAAAAAGCATAAGCCACACTGTACCAGGTAGAAGTTCAAAGAGGTACTGTGCCTTCAAGGTGTTCTTCTGAAGTCTGACCTCCTCCTTGCTTTCTTGGGAATAACTATCTCAGCCTGCCATGTTGTGCAGGGTTGGCATCTTCTCTACCACAGCTAGTCACTGCAGAGGTGGCCAGGCCACGGAAAAACATCCTCCAAATTCAGTTGCAAGTATGATCTTGAGTGTCATTTCCAACACGATGCACCAAAAGGCCTCAACTAGTCCACTTGAAGCACAGAGAGCATATAAAACCTCTCCATCTTAAGGCATATCATCTTACAGCCTAAAATGAAAGAAGCCCATCTTTCAGACAAGGCTCAACCAGGTTCAACATAAGCAACCCAGTAATGGCCTTCAGATAGGGGGGGAAAAAAAAAAAAAAAAAAAAAAAGCATACCCTTATTTCTGACTTCAATATAAGACCTGCTTTTCCCGGCGGCTTAATTCTCTCAGAAAGAGGATTTTGGAGACACAAAGCAACATCTGACCTTTAGTCTTTCTAAAGAATATGCGCAGTTTTCCACTTTGGGGTATAAGAGCTTCATAAATCAGGATGAGCTGTTTCCTAATAAAGCTTACGTAGAAAAACAATCAGCTGTAGCCATTTATATATTTTCTTAGTTGTTGTTGCTTTTAACTTCCGAAATCACTTTTCCACATTCCTTTAAAATTAGGGCAGTTGCTACCCTGTGGTATCGCCTGGCTGATTTTACTTTCCACCATATGAAGGTGGAGAAACAGGCCTCTGCATTCCCATATGCTGTCTTGTCAATACCATTATCAACGTAACAACCCAACCATATGAGAAAACAACTGAGAGGTGGAAATTATAGTCAGATAGTCAGATGTAGCCTAAATTCTTGCCTAGCTCTGGTCTCCCCTGCAACTAGTACTAAGGTTATAAGAGGTAAACACACAATGGAACAAGCTCATCTTGAAAATTTCAGAAAATTACAAGTATTTTCTAATGTATGTACTGCTCAATTAATAGTTCCTTTCTCAAGATACTTTCTCATCTTAATATTTAGGTGGCTGTCAGGCTGTCCCAATTAAGGGACTCCCGCCTCCCACCACACCAAGAAAAAACAGCTTGAGTTTCCCATTTTGCAAAAACCTAAAGCTTTAGTTCTGCCAGTGAGTTCTGCCTCTGTCGTCTCTGTTTTTACACAGTGCAGTCTCTATTAGGAAACTACGAGCATCAAGACTCATCACTATTTGCCTTTMACAAATAATCAGAGAATTTAAAACAGCTCTGGCTGTTACAACAGYGCCTGAGGGTTCAGCCCCACTAAGTGCACTGAAAGGGAAAAATGATTCACGGAAGCTGACAGCACAGAAAAAAAATGCAATCTCCGTAACGCCTCTGTGCAAAACTTTCCTGTCTCACAGTTTTACAACTGTAAGATTTATGTTTCTCAAACCTTAGACTTTTTGCTAAAACATGAAATATAAGAAAGTAAATTACCAGGCCAACTGCTATACACTGTGCCAATGGTAACACCACTCATAGCACAGGGTCAAAAAGTGGGACATTAAGGTAGGAGKATTGTGGTAAAACAAAATCTTAGTTTGGCATGTTAAAATCCCAAAATTACCAATTAATTGTGATTTGCAAATTCCTGAGGCATGTAATTCACCTCCTGTGGGCAAAATGATCAGATATGAAGAAAATAATCCCATAAATATCTCAAGTATTTCTAGGGTCTCACTACAGTAACAACCGAGCATCTTTGTTCTTCCTTCTCTTGAGGATCAGACTTGCACTTTTCCAAAAYGGGTCTCAGTGCCAGAGATACTAGAGATTCCAGAAATTTTCCTCTTAATGCACTTCTCCTGTTTTAAGACTTAGTTCTTTTTCTAATTGATGAGGAAGAAGAAATAACTGTTCTGCAGAACCCAGGGAAGCAACCTGATGTTCTCCTGAAAACCCTCCTGCCTTGGAGGTTACCATGTGAAGTGCAGATCCATAGATCATAAAGCAATTTCATTAAGTGTTGTAACTCAAATTTCAAAACACTTATCTGGGTCTTATACAGAGGAAAAAAAAATAAAGAGAAAGGTCTAGTGCTCAGCAGTCCTATCATCTTACATTGGTATGAGAAGTCTTTTGGCAAAGGGGGAAAGAAYGGAGGCTTCCAGTAAGTATTACAGCATATGGGTTTGCCTCAAATATATATATTTTTTGATTTCTTAATATCCCCGAGGAAAAATTTTCTATCAGTAAGTGGTAGGAAACCCATATGAATTTGCTACATAAAATGGCAAAATTTTGCTGTGTGCCTAATTCAGCACAAACCACAATTTCATACGGTTTCTCTGTAATCCCAGTTAAAAAAAAAAAAAAAAAAAAAAAAGGAAACATTCTCCCGTTAGAGAAATTTTATATGCATTGTAATAAATGATAAACCTGAAAGCTGCACATTTAGGCCTGTAACTGCACGGTAAGGTTTCCACGATGCTGATAAATCACTTGGGCTTCGCTCGCTCCATTTGTGTCACCAGAGTCCCCAGTGCCACCACAGCCCCTGCGCACGGCGCYGCGCTCCCGGCGCTGCCCGCGCCGCACCACGGCCTCCATCCAAGCAATAATCAGTCCTTGAGGGACAATCTGGAACGCTGGGCAGAGGGGACACAGGGCGCGCAGCTCGTCCTGGTTTTTGGGAAGCTCTTGGGGTCCTTCCCGGCCCCACGGGTCGTTATCCCTCCGTGCCACGGCTGCCTCAGCGCGTAGCTGCRCCACATTTACCTGTTTACCAGCTACTCGCTGCATTCAGGTATCTGCCCATTCGGGACCGTCACGAGGAGTCCAATTTCCCCTTTATTGTCTGCCTGTCCTTTCTGATAAAAGAACTTGGTGTCAAGAGCACTCCAACGGTTAATATTCATCARCATTTAGAAGAGCACCCTCTTCTTTCCTTCGGTGGATATTAAATTAGCTGCTATTACTCAGTAATAAGTAAGCAGCTGTTAAATCCCATCAATACTTAGTAAATCACTCTATTAAATGTATTCAAATCTGTTTTACTGCATCCATACGAACTCCTTGATTCCTGTGGGTTTGGGAAGGTTCATTACTGAGAAGTAAGCAGCCATCGAAACGCCTGACGCCCTTGCAAAGGGATTCAGAAGCTCCTCCCTTCACTGGGAAAGCAACCAGGATATTTCTAAAACAGAGGTTAATATAGTGAGAGTAACCCTTGAGCAAATCACATCCAGGTCTTTATGGCAAAATGAGAATCAGGCTTATGTGTGTATTTCTAGATGGAGAAATGCCTCCATTTCTAGTCAAGTTGCCTCAAACAGGTTTTGGTGGCTTGTACTTTGCTAGCTGAAGTTACATTTTGCAAAGTTGGAGCAGTAACTTCGGGATGGTCAGAGCTCTGATGATGCCCAGCCTGCAGGACACATGTGCAGCCAGGTCTGTGCTGAGCAACCCAGGCCACACTGCCCAGGCCACAGGGCCTGCAAAAAGCACCCCAGGCCACCATACACCCAGTGCCGTAGGGCAACATCCCTCATATGGAGCAAAGGCTCTTTGGCGCAGTCAAAAAAACCCCAAAGGGATTGAACGACCGTGGGTTCATCCCTAGCCTGTGGTGGCAGCTGAGGAGCTGCTAACAGGGGCGCTGGGGCTGCCTCCTCCCTGCAGGCTYGTGGGGGGATCCCCGGAGCACCTCTGACCCTCAGCCCCGGCCCCAGACCCACTGCAGACATGGACTTGGCACCCTGCACCCTRGCTCGTCATCGAAAGGTCCCTGCTCGGCATGGTCCTCATGAGAAGYTGGCCCTGGTGCTCATCTCAAAGGTGTCCTCAAAGGTTTTGGACAGCCTCTTTCAAACCTCTATTCCTTTACTTGCCTTTGGAGAGCTTTTGTGCTTGGGGAGGTTGCTTTTGGTTACCTCAATAGTTTCAAGCTGCAAGCTAAGCCCGTTATTTCTTGTCCTAGCATTCAGGGTAGACTAAGCTGTTTTTAGTCTTYCTGGCAGTATCCACACCACAAGACTGTATTTACATCCCTTTCAGCCTTGTCTTCTTAAAACTTAGTGATCCAAAACATTTTAATCATTCCACATTCATCAAGTGTTCTGGATCTCATGAAGGATCATTTCATGAATCTGCAGGCTTCATAGCTGATCGTAAATCTTTACTGCCTTATTTATTTTTGCAACAAAATGACATCACTAATTCATGCTCAACTTCAAGACCATTTTTTGTAGAACTGTTGCCCTAATGGTTTTTCCCCACTCTTTACCTGGGCAGTTGATTATTTCTGCTCATAGGTATTCTGCTCATCTGTATTATTCGTTCATATGCTTCCTTTTGTCTCTCTCCCTAATTCCATCCAATTTTTTTTCCAGATCGTCTTCATTTTGCCACAATACTTTTCAATTTTACTCCTCCCCTTAGGTTCTAAATGCAAACCCAGTAACCGCACTGTATTCAATCATTTAGGGTGTGAATGAGCACTTCAGACATAACAGACCTTTACAGAAGCCTTAGCGAATCTTCTCATTTTGACAGATTTGCAACCACCCTGCACAAATTTCATCCACACTGCACTTCCCTTGCTTGCCCATGAGAATGGGGCAGGAGACCACCAAAAGCTTTTTTTTTAAAACAGATTATATGATGTCTATCACTGCTCCTCAGCTCATAAGTGGAACAGCTAAATCTCTCCTCCAGATTCAGTGACTTCTCCTTTACTCAGGTCCACACCAGGCAGCCTTTCCTTTCATTGAATGTCTGAGTGAAAATGCCAACTACTGACTTGGATTTTTCTTTTTATTTTTGTTGTCCTACAGGAATGGGCTGGGGAGGAGAGATATAACTCATATTTAGGGAATAAAAAATCACCACCTAGGAAAGACTTTCAGACACTGCTTCTTAATGCAGGTGAAACCCCAAAATCGGATATGAGCTCTCTAGCATCAAACCTTAAAGATTTAGAGTCTCAAAGTATTTTATTCACTTGATTTACAAAAAAAAAAAAAAAAAAAAAAAAAAAAAANCTCCTGAATTGGGGCATGACATGTTGCAGTTTTGCTAAGTAAATGTATAAACACTGTTTGAAAAATATATCTTAAATTAGAATATACATCTAAATGAACAATAAACACCTGCAAGCTTTAAGTCATACCAAAATACTCAAACCACAACTTACCTTTTGAGTAAGTAGAGCCTGGACCACTTGATTAGCTACCTGAAATAAATAAATAAATAWTATGGTTTACACATGGTATCCCATATGCTTATGCATGACAATACTGTGGCTTTACTGCTACAATCACCACTAACTTTAGTGTTTTCATTAGATAGTTCTACTAGTAGGAGTATATAAAATTCAAGTAATTGCTTCTCTGCTAGTTCTCATTTCAAAACAACCTTCTGTGCCTTATCAATTGCAGTATGACACAACGGGCATTCGCTTAGCTTCTGTCATCTCTTCTTAGGATAGATTAAAATGTCACGGTCCTATATGCAGCTGGTTTGCATCAGCATGGATTGACTGCATTCACTAGAGCTGGCTCTTACCAGCCGAGGATGTAGCCCTGAATGTTTTCATGAAGTTTTATTGTTTCTTGATGCAATATTGACAAAATGGTACATCTATCATGACAAGCAGAAGCCATTAAGTGTCATGGAAAATGAAAGTAGCTACTGTCATCAGAAGGTGGTTGGAAGGCATTCACACCACACRGCATAATTGACTTGAATCAGATTACACAGCATTGATTAGCAGAAGTATATATTCAACAGGGAATTTTTGATGTTATTTATTTTATATATTGTTTCTAAATTATACTTGCCAAGGGAAGAGAGAAAGAGGAGCTAAGATAATTTTTGTTGTTGTTGCTGCTGTCTAAACCAGATATTTCTTATTAGTACTGCTATAATCTAATATAATTTAAAACTATATAAACAAATATCACACAATGTGTTTGGCTATAACTTTGCTCTTGAAAGCACAGCAACCAGAAATGTCACTCCATGCACAAAGAGAAAGTAGTTATAATTTTTATACTTTAGGCTTTCTGAAATAGCAGGAAAGCACATAATGATGTCATTTGGAAGTTCAAAACTGCATTGATTCTCCTTAATCTTAGTGAAATAATAAAAAAGAGACCATTCGAGTGAACTGAATCATAAACAAAGAGCTGAAGAAATTCATTTCTGCAAATAATTTAGTTCTGTTAGATCCCAAAGTTACATTTGATTCATATGCTCATAGTATCTTTTTTTTTTTTTTTATCCTCCAAGCTGGTCCAACTTTATTTTTGCCTGTGGAACATTGGTCACATAAAATAGCTCTCTATATGATTTAACAGAAAGCACAGACTAATATAACAACAATAATAACCACAGAAATAAGTGTCTAACAGCTTTGGAAAACCATGTGCCATGCCCTATGGGCTTGCAGAATTCTATTTGCTCTACCTGAAAATTGAACAAACCACATGTAATACATTATTTCTTTACTTTCTGACATGCAGTTATTTTACCAAGAAGAGCTAAGAAGTTCTTTTAAGTGGACACAAGTCACTTGCCACAGAACTGCCTGGAAAAGTATTCTTACAGCTCTATGTATTTCAGAGGAGTGCACCTGCGACAATCCACCAAATGAAAATAAATACAAAAATAAATAAAGGACTTGCTGATATATAGGGGACACATTTTTTAACTTAAGAGTGTATGAAATTAAGCATTTAAATGAAAGTASCTGCCTGTGGCCCAAGCTCCCATAAATCTCAGTAAGAAATATATGTARCTAGTTCATTCTAGTGAATTTAGTGAAATGCAACTTGACAAACTGACACAGTTACACAGTAGTCTGTTAGTGGAATCATACCCAAGCTCCTGCAGTTCAAATGATGTTGCTGTTCCACTCCTACAGCCCACGCTAGTGTGCAGAAGGAAGTAAATTGCTACGCTAGCACACCTGCACCATTTTTATTTACAGGTATCAAAGGACGCTACAGGTAGGAAGAACGTAGGTCAATGTAGGTCTACAAAGCTGAGAGTCCAACTACCCAAAACGGGGGGAATGGAGACACTGAAAGCCAAGGACTGACTCCTGGGGTGCAGAACAGGGGAAATTCCCCCTGCTGCAGGCAGGTAAGAACCAGGCTGCAAAATGACTTGCCCGGTGACTCACACAGAAACTGAAGGCAAACCAAGAAAGAGAACAGYGATGTCCTTGGGCCTGCCAGTGGCCTGCAGTGCAGGTCTCTGCTTGCCCCTTTCAACTTCATAGCTACAATTTTTATGTGAGACTCCTTTTTGTGCATTACAGTAATAGAGATAAAAGACCAAGCCTCACTTTTGCTTAACACAACTGCATTTACATATACATGTTATGAAGTGGTCTTAATAGAAAAGCTATAAAAGAATGAACCAGAGGAAGGAGATCCTAGTGCAACATCTATTATACGTTGTATAAATACTGAGATTTTACTTAATGCTGTCCTTTAATGTAAGGTTTCATATGCACAAAGGCATTTTGCATGTACTAAAATAAAAGCTTTGGTATTTTCTTCACTCCTAAAGGCAGAATGCTTTTTTAGGAGGACTTTATGCTTTTYGTTAGCTAATTTGACATGTATTTAGTAACATTGTTGTTTAACACTTAAAACTTCAGCAAAAATACCATCTACCCCAAACTGCACAATTTCCTGCACATAAGTAGAGTGAAGCTTGACAGAAATCTGGGTTGGCACAGTAATGTGAATAAACATGAAATTGCCACTTGCCAAYAGAGTGACAGCTGAATTCCAGAATAGGAAACTAGGATTAAGCATGTTAACCTCAAACCCCAAAGGTACAAGAAGACAATCCTGTTTGTGGCATTAAATTTTCCAGACACAGAAAGATACCGGGTGCTTTTGGAATTAAACAAGCTCGTTTCTTGTTTGTATAGTACTGGAATATTTCAATGTGACTTTCTTCCAAATATTATTCCAAAGATGCTTATATATACACTTCAAAGATGGCCAATTACTTTAAAAATCAGTGCATATTTATTCAAATTCATAAGGGCACACTTCAGTTAGACCCATATTCTTTTTTAGACTTCATCTCCATGAATATTTGAGTTTCACTGAATTTTACCATGAAAATGATCACAGAACATGCATTTTTTAAGCCACAAGTGCAAGCACTCACATTACAATATTAAATGTGGGGCATGAGTGAGCAAAGAACTGTAACAATAATTGGCTAAAAAAAGACAAAGCAGAGAAATAATGGCARTGAGGGCTTTCAAAAATCAGCTCTAATATCTTCTTGTTACGCACAGCCAGACGAATCACGGTGGCAATTTTCTCTTCCTTTGCATGCGGGTTAATGGCCATCACTCTGTGCTTGGGTGAGTGTCCTTATCATGCTGCTGAGGAGGCCCTGGGGACCAAGTTTGGAGGCTATCAACACGGTGGCCGGTTCAGGTGATGCTTTGCACTGTGTGAGCAGAGCCTTCCTGGGCCAAGGGGACAGAACCAGTGATTTGAGAGTGCCCACAGATGAGTGGGGAGCTGCAGCCCTCTAGCTCCCCAAGTGTCCATCTCAACTTTCATTACCTCCAGAGTCTATTAAATACCCCAAGCATCTATGTGGATGTTTTTYTCAGACCCTTCTGCATTTGGAAAGAGAGGCTGAGCATCAGCTTTGGAGGGAGGCATCCCTTGTGTACCAGCCCAGAAGTTCAATGTACTCATGAGTACCCGGACTGGGAAGTCAAAATTAAGATAATGGTTGTAGTAGGCATTTAATTCTTTGGTGGCAGGGCTAGCTAGCTCAGGTCCAGCTGTGATCACAGCCTCTTGTTCTGAGAAACATCCCCCTTCCTTCCYTTAAACCCACCAGGTCTCCTTGGGACAAAACGGAGCTGCAGCTCAGCAGGATACAGTTATACAAGATTCTTCTAAAGACTCCTGAAGAAGTCCTTAAGTATGGCCTAACTAGGGAAGGCCTGAAGAAGTTTTCACTTCCGAGAAGTAGGATTTGTGTCAGGCCTGAAGAAAAGAAAGCATCCAATTTAAAGTTTGAAAGGAAAGAAATATTCAAGTGGAAAAATATTTTTTTTCATAAAAATATTCATGAAAGAGATTTTATCCTAAGATCTCCTGTGAGAATCCCTGCTTGGAAAGGACTTTGTCACATGTGCTACAACCTCAGAAGTCTCTGCTCGGAACTGAAGGTTCTCACAATCATTGCCAGGGCTACTCACTAATTATATATATTCTCATCTCCAATTCTCTTTTTTTACTGTAATGAAGTAGGGAAGGTCCTTGTTTGGACTTGGAGCATGTGCTTCCCTGTGAAGCTCTCCCAATGGAAAGTGCTCAGGTGGCCGCTAAGGTGAAACTGGGCTGCAGCACTTGTGAATATTAAAATGCATCTTTCTTGCCTCAGTCCCTGGCATCGATGCCTTCACCTCTGCTTCACCTGGTAATGGGAAAGGGCAAGAAAGGCCATTGCACATCAAACAGAAGACAAAAAAAGGAGGAAAAATAAAACAAAAATAAAGCAGGACGGCGCAAAACCAAACGCCGCTGCCACTTCTAAACAATAAGCACTCCCTCCTGAAAAGAAAGCTGTGATGGCAGCAGAAGATGGATACAGCTGTGATAATAGAGAAGAACTGAAAGCAGACAACCCAACACCGAAGACAATAAAGCTCAGAGGGTAGTTTGAAATAATTATTCATTCTTTGAACTGCAACAGCATGCATGAAACACTGTCTTGGAACAGAAATCCATCATGTTCCTGCAGACACACAATAACAAATATATCTTCTGTCCTTGTAATCTGTATGGAGTCTGTTTTTTTGGGACTGACAGTTACTGTGCTTTGCCCATTTTCTAAATGAATTATGCAGGCAGATTCTSTTCAAGAAGCTCAGAAAATGGCTTTAAGTTAATCTCTGTAATTTAAACTAAAATGAATAATTACTTAATCACATCATAGTTTCATCCTTATACATAAATACATGCAAGGAAATCCAAATATCATTCAGGGCTTGCACTGAAGGGAGGCCAGCATTGACCAAGACTGTGTGAGTAACCCAGCCCCACAAAACAGACACAGCACAACCCGGTGGGAAATTGTATCTGCTAGGGGTTTATTCCTGCCCCCTGAGGAAAACGTGCTACACTGACAAAAGTGCAGATTTCCTCATGAAAACCTGCCTAAACTCAGGGTTTCTGGTACCAGAGATGTATTGATGAGTCCAGTAAAACTTGAGCAAATGGTGATCAGAAAGATAAAAAAACTGGTCATGAAGACATGAAGACATTCTCACCTGCCACACGCAAGCTGCACCCTTACACAGCCCATTCTCAAAGGCAGAGCTGGGCAGGCAGTGTCAGAGAGTTTGGTTGGTGTAATTTAATTATAAATGTTCCTATTACTACAGGAAGGGTAACTGTTTGATCCACTAAAAGTCCATTTCAGGCTCCTTGCTGTACCAGAAAGCCTCACTTCAAGATAAATGGGAGGACTAAGCAAGTGAATAGACACCTAGGATAAAAAACACATAAGCTGGGTATGTTAAGCTAAGGGGGAGACAAGAGGCTAAATTCCCTGGATATGGACTACAGTATGGTACAAAGCATGGAGGATTCCCGGCAGCAGAAGCCACTTCCATTCATGTTCCTGTGTACAGAGTGGGAGCACACAGAATCCAACAGGTAAGTGATAGTTCCTCCTCCTAAGGAAGAAAACAAAAAAACAAAACAAAACAAAACAAAACCCCAAGTAAAATTCAAAATCCTGCTCACAGTGATACAGACTTTTGGGTAAAGAAGCAAGTCAAAGCAGCACTTCCAGAGGAGGTCGTAATACATACAAGTTACAGACCTATTTTCTTGGATAACTGCAGAATAATATTAGCCTTGTAGGAGAGGAAGAGATTAATTTCATTCACCATTTCATTGTGGTAGCAGATAACGACCCCTTTTCTGTTCCTCTTACCTCATCAAGGCATCTTTCATACTGTTCTCTTTGACTTTCATTTTCCAGAGCCAGTGCTGAATTCTCCGCCTACAGAGAAATACAATAAATAAGGTGCAAATTAATCAATGCATATGTTGTGCTGCATGACAGCTAGCTTAGGGTGCATACTTTATGTGCTTCTTCGAGATCCCAAATAAATATATATATATAGAGAGAGAAAATTTATTTTTGCTGCAAGTCACTGCTTTGAGTAAAAACAGAAGTGACATTAGTTTATGAGATTATTCATAGCATGCATTACCGTTTAGAACAACATAGAAGCAGTTGTGCTAAGCTTGTCTGCTACCTAATTTTGTCAGGTGTAAGTGAATCTGCAAAGAAAGTTGATAGAAGATATTGGTACATCTTTTCTTCCTGCTCTTTTCAAGTGGGCTACCTTAAAGTCAGATAATTTCACTCTAGTCTATGTCAGATTTTAAACGTGATCAAGTTTTCCATGTAGTAGTGCCTTTGATTTGTCCTTAATTTTCATGGTAGTCAGATTTCTTGCTTCATGCAAACTTAAAAAAATGGCACAACCTGATACTTAAATTACACTAAATCAGTGTATTTTGTATACATTATGGTTTTTGTTTAGRAGTATCCAGTGGGAATGAAAATTCTCTGAAGTGTGCTGTATACAAATGCATCAGTCACACACAAAAGCAAATTTTAGCCAGTTTTCTCTTGAGAGCTGATAAACTGCAACAATATATAAAAATGTATGATTTAAAACTGGCTCTAGAAACCTCTCTGCCTCCAACGCATCCCTTCACACCACACAAACATAAATCCACAATCAATACACTCAGATAATTACAGCTATTACACAATTTACTTCACTTTTACTGTTCCATCAATCTGTAAAAGTTTAACAAATGAGACTCCAAAAGAACTGTGGTTAAGATATAGGAGTCATAAAAATGGTCAACATTCACAATTTTATAGAAAAAATAATTTAATATACTGTATGGAAAGATTTCATGAGGAGAACCACAACTACCTCTTCTTTGTTAAGCAATTTAAGCCATCCAACAAAGCAAAAATACTGCAGTCAAATAAATCAACCTACTGATAATTTTAAATTCAAGATAAATCTTAAAAATCAGATAGAAGGAGGGAGACACACAGGTGTTTTGAAAAAGAGAAAACAATGGAGTTAGGGAAGAAGGSCAGAGTGTTTACTTATTTACAAGTCTAAATAAATCGTATAGAATCAATATGGTGCCTCAGGGGTACAACCAAAGGCAGCAATGATGGTAAAAACCTGCTGTGCAGCAGATTGTCACAGAACGGGCCGGCAAGGATTCCTGCGAGTTAAATTTTGAATTTTGATGTAGACAACCTGCCCAAGTGGGGTATGATGTTACTGTGAAACAGTGCGGGCAGGCTGCTTCCACGCCGGTGTCTGCAGCCTCCAGCTGCACTAGATCCCAGAGAGCTCCCTGTATTTCTCTCACTCCATTTTCCATTTGTTTTTACTTATTTTTTTTTGGAATACATTTGTACATTACATACATTACATTACATTTGTAAATGTAAGCTAAGCCTTGTTGGGTCTTGTAGCTGAATCCCTGATTTCAGTAAGTTCTTCCTTAATGAACAGGTTACCAAAACTAGGAAATTTTAATTTGTCCACATTGTAAATAAAGGTATATTTTTCTTTTCAAGTCATAGTAAAGACATCTGTACAGTATAAGCCTTTTTCACACCAGTGGCTCTGAAAGCCTGCYGAAGGCATGTAATACAGTTAATGATAGTTTGACTCCTGTGCTTCTTGATCAGTGACTAAATCATGTCTATTTATTTGGGGTTTTTGTAATAGTGACTGCCCAAGAAGAGAACACTTCACTAACTTCACTTAAGATCCTGTGCCTGTTCCCAAAAGATGGGAAAATGAGTACACTAAATCACTCTATACTGCAACTGAATACTAGATAAATAACCCACATTCCCCCCAAAGCATTAACGTGCAAAATTTGTAATAGCATTTGTGGTTTCAAAACCCCATCTCCTAATCCAAACCTTCATCTCCTTAACAGAAACTGCTGCATTTTGTCATTATAAGTCTGCTCCTTTATTTTTTTCCTCCAGAGCGAAGTGGGCTTCCTTAGAGGAAACCCTCAGTTACCTCCATTATTACCGAGAAAGGCATTTGCTTAGATTCTACTCCTAGGTACAGTTATCTTCTAGGAATTGATGCACATTTTATGTATCGTGTGCTGCACACAAGTAAATGCAGCCTCCCTGCACCAGCCAAGCCAAGTGCTGCAGATGTTCGGTGTTTACCACCACCAACCTAGGGCCAAGTGTCTCTTGTCCTGGGGGTCAGCCCCACACACAGTATCCTGCATACATTCAGAAAAGCCTCCGACGTAATTTGCCACTAAACAAAACACTACATGTTGCTTTTGGAGCATTATGGATTCCAGGATCCCACAAATGTCAAAATAGAGGCAATCCCTAGTTCTTATTTGGAAGAAATCATTTTGCAGAAGAGTCTCTGCAAACAGTGGAAAATTTAAGGATTTCAATCATGACATGCATAATGCTAAGCAGCTTTCAACTGCCTTAATTAGAGGCAACTTTCTTCTAAACTGTGAGACTGTTTATGGAAAATCAATTCTGAAAGTGAAAATTTAAGATCTCTCTGTATAAAACAGAGGCTGCCTTGTATTGACATCACTGCCAAGATACAGTCATTGTTACAGACTTTGTTAACTCTAACTTTGATTCTCTCCCAGAGAGAAAATGCAGCCCTTGTAATGATGCTGCTGCTGGTTATCTCCAGGCCAGCTAAGAGCTTTCTCCCACCTTCACACTTGTTTAAGAACATTCTGTATTTTCTTTTATGGGACAACCATTTGGGGAACCTTCGTTCATTTATTTCCCATGAAGGCAAACAGAGGAGGGAACAAGAAACAAATTGTATCGGTTTTCGCTTTACACAATGTTTCCTCAAAATTGGTTAATGATTATTTGGGGTCAGAGGAAGTTCTTCTGTTCAGAACAATTTGCTGCTCGTGATGCTGGAAGAAATAGGAAGATCTGCTACAGAAGGCAGCCTTAACATCCTGCACATTTTTAGAATGTGCTAATGTCCTGGATCAGCAAAGCTAGGACAATTCATCACACTTTCCTTTTTTAAGCTGTAGAACGGTGATGATCACTTAGCAGTATGATATCCTTGACTGAAGGCCAATATCAAAGCGTCCGTTGAGCAATCAGCTTAACTTCAGGTCCTCTGAAGGGGATTTTCACAAGAATATGAAGTCAAACACACATCTCAATTACATTCTTAATGTGAGCGTATTTACTCTTTTTAAAATATTAAACAGCAAAAGACACTGGAGCTTTGTGCCTCAGAGGAACCAAGCAAACACAAAAACACAAATGCAGGGAAGGGTTTTCTCCCCGAAAGTGTTCCTTACCAGGAATTCTGAGCCAGGGAGTGCTCTGGTCCCTTCCAGCTAATTGTTCTCCTTATGGATTTACATGTTCCAAGTGCAAGATCCTCTCAGTGCCCCAAGCCTGAGGGGCTTAGGGGGTTCTATCCTCACCTGCTACTGATGGAGTAGTACCCAAATACCCCAAAGCACTTTGAATATGCTCTTACATCAATACCTACATTTAGAGCAATTTCTTCTCCTTCCCTCTTTCCTCTTTACTATTTTAGATATCATTACTCCAGGGGAAGGATCAGCTCACAATTCCTTCAGTATTTATCTATGTGTTTGGTGGAAGAGGCAGACACATTTGTGAAAATGCCAACGGATGTGCACGACTCCGCCAGATTTGCTTGCTTCTTCAACTTTGCAAATGGCACTTGAGAGGACAATTTTCATTTAACACCCTGCAAAAGCCATTTTTATTGTGCCCCTGGAAAGAGAAGTGAAGTACTTAAATCATGACTGAATATAAGAATTGGACTAAGCTCCCTAAAGTGTTCTGAAAAAGTTTAAACTTCACCTCTTTGTGCCTTGACTGTAAAAGTCAGGAAAACAGGAATAACAACACTTTGCTACCTAGCCAAATACATAATGAATCAGGTTATTCTGGGTGCCTTGGGGGTCTTTACATGAAGAATATTAGTTAATGTACCTATTAGGAAGTATTCAGTAGAGTTTTCTACATTTATAACCACAATGAAGCGAATTAAAACAGTGAACTTTCTACTAGAAGGCATAGATAGAAAAGAAGCACGTAGAAACAGCTTTCCTTATTCCACCACTGTAGTGCTGAGGTAAAATAAAAGCATGAGGGGCGAGAGAAGGGAAGGAGAGCAGACATTTACCTTGCACTACAGGAAAAGGATATGGTCTAAAGGTTGGATGTCAAGTTAGCAACTCAATGGGCTTTGAAGGGATCATCAATAAAGGTCAAGGGGAAGAAAGTTATGACAGTGAACTTTTAAAATCCCTACAACACTGGTTTCCATGTGCACTGCTTTGTTATTCATGCTAACCCATTAGCCCCTTTCTAGAGAGGTTTATTGATCTACACAGACACTCATTTGTCATGACCTGGGCAGTGTATTAACAGCTGTCCAAGCATTTCAAATGAGCTCAGCAATTTTTTCATGTCTTCAGCCTATAATTTTGTATGTTTTTGTGGTCAGAGCTGCATACAGCATACTAGCAGATAGGGTAAAATCCAGGACAAAGTCTGTAATTGGTACCATTAGAAGTGATGCTGCTCTCATCTCTTCTTGGGTCCTTTGGCAGTTTTTCAGTCAGCAGCTGTTCTAAGAACATTTGCCTCTTCTAAAGAAAGAATTCCACCAGCAAAAGCCTTCAGTGCATTCCTCTATGGGAAAAGCATCCCCACAGACCAGTTTCCACCCAGGTCAGTTTCCAGGGCTTTTCCTAGTGCTGCAGATGTCCCCTGACTCCAAGCAAGGATGGAAGGGTATCCCAGGGGCAGTTTGCACAAGTACCTCACTGTGGATCCACCACCCGTGTTGGCTGTTTCCACCTTTTGCTCCGAGCTTTCCACAAGTAAAAGAGCAACTCCAGCCGGAGGGAGGGAGCATCCCGCTGAGCCGCAGG